CAAATTGTCTTCAAAACTGGCGCCAAAACAAAAAGATTGTAACAAACGCGACAAACTCTCGTAAAAGGAAGTTACGAATTTGGCGCGTCTTTTGAACGCGCGTACGAGACAGAGAAAGAAAGAGAGAGAGAGAGAGAGAGAGAGAGAGAGAGAGAGAGAGAGAGAGAAAGAGAGAGAGAAATAGGGTGGAAAGGTTTGGTAAGTACGTGCGAGCTCCTAAAAAAAGGGCCATCGATCGAGCGGCGACGACGACAACGACGACGGGCAACGAGTTCTCGGAAAAATGTCGCAGAAGGACGGAAGGAGGAGAAGGAAGAGGAGAGGCGAGCGGAGAGATGGATGAGTGGGTGAGGGAGGAGAAGGAGGAGAGGGGGGAAGTAAGTCGCGCGCGAATCGGTTCGCGCCGAAGCGTTCGTACGTTCTCGCTGGTGCTCTCTCTCTCTCTCTCTCTCTCTTTCTCTTTTTCTCTTTCTCTTTGTTCGTCTCTCTGTGGGTACTGTGTGTACGAGCCATTTATATTGTTGTCTCGCTTACCTAACCAAAAGGAAATATCCCGCGTCGTTGGACGACGCGACGAGAGGCCTGGCCGCCTCCTCCTCTTCCTCCACCACCACCTTCTTCTTCTTCTTCTCCTCCTCGGCTTCTTCTTGCTCGCTCGCTTGGCCTGCCTGACTGCTCGTCGTCGCTCGTTCGTTCTTTCGTTCGAGTTGCCTGCTCGCGATGCCTAAGAGATCGGAGCAAGGCCTTCCAAGTCGCACTTTCGTGAGAGAGGGATTCAGCACAGGTAGAGAGACAGCACACGTACGTACGTACGTACGTACGTACGTCGTCGTTCGACGTTCCTTTTCTTTCTCTCACTCTCTCTCTCTCCTCTTCTTTGATCCTCTTCTCTCGTTCTCCTTTTCTCACCGACAACGTTACACACTGCCGTAGTGCCGCTGCTGTTCCTCCTCCTTCCCTTGCTCCTGTCTCGCAAGCAGGCTATCCGTCTTTCTCTATCTTCGTCTCTCACTCACTCACACTCACTCACTCGCTCTCTCTCTCTCTCTCTTTCTCTCTCTCTCTATCTTTCTCTCTCACCGTCGGTCCTCTCCCCTCGCGCGAGAGTCGAGCGCCGGTACGACGCGTCTCGACGGTGGCGTCGTCCCGAGGAGGATACGAACGGTCGCGGAGAGCGTGGAGAGGAGAGGGCGGGCGGGGGGGGGGAGGGGGAAGGCAGGGGCGACGGGGGGTGGTGGCAAAGCGAACGAGCGAGCGAGCGAGCGAGCAACGAGGGGGTACACCCGTCGCACCAGCAACTGCCACCAGAGCCGATGCCGTTTGCTAATCGTACTTTACTATTACTCGTCGTACCTTTTCCTTCGTTCCTTCCCACCCTTTCCAGGTCCCCCCCGCCCCAGCTCCCGCGCCGTCCTTTCGTCTTCCTCTTCTTTGCGTTTTTATTTGTTATTATATCCTTATATCCGGTATATCGAGGGACACTTTTACTTTGAAAATATAACTATTGCCGTTTTCCCCTCCTCTTCACCCTTTCTTACTTTTCCTCTATTTTTTCTATTCTCCTCTTCCTCCTTCTCTCGTAGCACTTGTTTACACTCGGAATCAAGAGCGCGTTATTATTCTATCATCCACCACTAATACTATTACTATTATTACTATTACTACTACTTACTATTACTAGAACAACAATAACAACTATTACCGGCCAACACCAATCAACCACACTACCACCAGAGCACGAAGAACTCTGCTGCTCGACACCGTTAACTCGCTCGTTCGCTCGCTTCTTCGCGAAAAAATACCGCGCGCGCGTCTTTCCACGACGATTCCTTTCTCAATATCTCTCTTTAGTTATCTCTATCTTATACTTATCTATCTTGTCCGTCTATAAACTCGCTAATAACCGACCTTTCTCACTCCGCCAGACGAGCACCGTGCGTCTCGTTTGTCGAATATCTCAACGTCGTTTGTCGTCCGCGCGAATACAAACTCAGTAGGACATATATAGCCGAAGACGAACACGCACAGAGATCGCGAAGATGATCGTTTGCACACGAAATAATTGGTCTTCTTTCTTTCTCTCTCCCTCTCTCTCTCTTCCTTTTTCTTTCTTTCTCTCTTGTTGAAAGTCGTAGCGCGTCCCTGTCTCTATCTCTTTCTCCTTCCTTTCTTCTTTCTCTCTCTCTCTCTCTCTGTCTCTCTCTCCCCCTCTCTCTCTCACTCTGTCTCTTTCTTTCTGTCTCGACACGCACGTCCGTACGTCGCGGGCGCCGATGGCGGAATGAACCGGTGGCGCCGCGAAACCCGACGACTGCGCCCTCGTCGGCACTACACGCAAATACGCCGTTACTACTAACACATAGAGAATACCATCGTATAACCACTACTATTATCTGTTTTTCTCTTTCTCTCTCTCTCTCTCTCTCTCTTGCTTCTATATATGTGGGCGCTTCTTCGAGGGAGAGTGGCGCGCACGACATCGACGCTGCACTGATCTCTAGCGATCTTGTGTGATGCTCTCTCCCTCTCTATCTAGCTACGTACGTACGTATATGTATTATGTGTGTGTGTATAATGCGAGTGTAGCAAAGTGCCGCGCGCGCAGCGAAGGGAGAGAGAGAGAGAGAGAGAGAGAGAGAAGAGGATCGCGCACCGGCGGCTACACTCCGCCGAATCTATAATGGATATTCGCACCGACGGACCACCTGGCCCGCCTCTCCCCCCACCTTCGCAACACACACCATCTAACGGGTGTCTACCGATTTACACTCGCGATCGCGACAGGGCCGGATTCTATCGATCGAGGGCCCTGCGCCTTTACTTTTTCTTTTTTTTTTTCCATTGAATTTTTTTTCAACATTTTTTTAATCACTTAATAAAAATCGATACAAGAGATCAAATTGTTTATTCTTCTCTTTTTCTTTTTACGGAGAATGTCGATTGCCGAATGAAAAATGCTGCTTCGAATGAGAACGGTTATATTTATAATAAACCTCGCTCTCTCTCTCTCTCTCTCTCTCTCTCTCTCTCTCTCTCTCGATTGGTCTATACGTTTGTTAACATTTTTCGAGAGATACTACTTTCGAAAGTTTTTCGTGTTTTCCCTCGTCGACGCGTGAATAATTAGGTCAACGTTAATTGGCGCGGTTAACTAACGACCAACGCTCGATACTACCCGACACAAAGCACGGATATTAAGCGAGCTAGAACCTGGCCCCAACGCTTTGATTATTACGTACGACGGCGAACGATAACCCGTAATTTTGCCGATTAGTTAATCAGGAAAATTAACCCGGAAGCGAGTCGTTTGTTCGACCAAAGAAAAAAAAATAAAATAAGAAAAAAGAGCAAAAACAAAAACAAAGAAGAAGAAAACAAAATGAAAAGAAGAGAGAGCGAGAGCGAGAGCGAGAGAGAGAGAGAGAGAGACAGAGAGAGAGAGAGAAGAAAAATAAAAAAGATTGATCCTACGGGATAAATTTTTGACTTTAGAGTATGGATTCGTACATAAACGAAGGTCGAACCCGTTTGATTCGTACGAGAGAGAGACAGAGAGAGAGAGAGAACTCCTCTCCGAAGAGAGCATACATTAAAAGTTACGACGTTGGTTGAATCCTCGCTTTCGCCTCGACCTTTCTTCTCGTTAGAGCAAAGCAACGATCAGAGAGAAACACTGATCGCTCGTCATACTACTCTCTCTTTCTCTCTCTCTCTCTCTCTCTCTCTCTCTCTCTTTCGCTTTTGCACTTACAAATTGCAAGGCACGATCGTATCCGATGATGATCGAAGAGAGTTACGAGCCGCCCCTCGTCGATCTTTCATTTTTCCGATCGATTTCTCGATGCCTTCCTTCTCTTCCTCCTCCTTCTCCTCCTTTTATTTTTTTTTTTATCCTTCTTTGATTTCGATCAATGATTACGTCATACCTATCGCGTTGAAAATAATTTGAAAAAAAAAAAAAAAAAAAAAAAAAAGATTATGTTCGATAAAATAGTTGAGAACTCGTCTTAACCGGATTGTTCGACGTTATCTAAGAGATTCTTTTACATCCCATGTTCCTCCCCCTCTTCCCATTCACCTTTAAAAACGAAACTGAACGTAACAGAGAGAGGCGCGAAAGATCTGAAAAAAAGAAAGAAAGAAAGGAAGGAAGAAAAAAAAAACAAATCTTTTTTCCCGCGCTTTTTCACGCGCTCGACGTCGGCGACGAGCCGTAAACGTGGCGCGTGCTCGTTGCAAAAAAAAAAATATATATATATACGTATATATATATATATATATGTATATATATCGTCGTAACGTATATAACGACGTACTATACTCCTTGCCGCACAAAAACCTATCGATCCAAGTACGATCGTAAAAAAAAAAAAAGAAAAAAGAAAAGAAAGAAACGAAAGGAAATCTTTTGCGAAAACGAGATATGTGAAAACTTAAAATCAAATCTCTCAGATTGAAATGATCGATCGTGTGAAATTGTCGCCGAAAAGGATCAGCTTTTATATAAAATAAACATTTTGAAAATCTATCCTGATCGTTATAACACGATCGATGCTTTCTTTTTTACAAAAATGGCGATTTTTGACGTTGATTTAAATACGACGAATCCCTTATACGTCCTAGGAGGAATAAGGAAGGCAATTGAAAAAAAAAAAAAGCAAAAGAAAAGAGATAAGACAAGAAAAAAGGGAGAAAGAAAAGAAAAGAAAAAAGATGAAAGAAAGAAACGTGAGACGAATCTCACATATAAATAATTGAATAAATTGAAATAATTATTCGTTTGGATCGTTTTAAACGGGTAAGAATATCCTTCCGCTTTTCGCCAATTGAAATTCTCTTCAATTTCCCCTCCTTTCGTGTCGAGAAAAACAAGATGAACTCAAAGAGCGTTTATTTTCGAAGCGGCTAACCATATTATTTCTACGAGCGGGGGATAACTACGATAAGGTTGATACGTTTACCTCGTTACTTTCCTGTCATAATCGTAATAAAACCACCGCCGTACTCGAACTCTGCTCCCTGTAACTACGTTAATTGGCCTCTGAACAGGCCGCTGCAAGCTGCGTGACCCGAGCACCGCACCTAACGGGTGTCTTCGTAATATTAATGTTACCTTGAATATCGTTGAATAATTATACTTTAGAAAATATTTATTCGCTTTATAACTCATCGTGCAACTCGTTCGCGCTGTGTTAGTCCTCGAAAATTATATTAAATTAATGTTACATTTAATCGTCACGAACGAAAATTCAGGGAGTATCTCTTATTGAAAATTATCTAAAGGATTATGACAATGACGATGATGACGATGATGATGATGATGATGATGATGATGATGATGATGATGATGATAATGACAATAATTATAATAACGATGACGAGTATGATGATAATTAATAGAAAAAATAAAGAAAAAAAAGCAAGAAGGAAAGAAAAGGGGAGAGAAAAGAAGAAGAGAAAAGAAAAAGAAAAAAAGCAAAAGAAAAGGTAGAAGGAAGGAGAAATGGAAGATGAATTTTTAATCTCGTAAATCGAGTCGTTTCTTCGAAACTCATTAATCTCGAGAAGGCAAGGAGATGCGTACGACTCTTCGCACTTTGCCATCCTCCTCCACCAATGCTAACCACCACCTCCTCCACCTCTTTCTTCTTCTTCATCTTCTTCTTCTTCTTCTATTTCTACTTCTTCTTTCGTCGTTGTCGTCGTCGTCGTCGTCGTCGTCGTTGCGCCGACTCGGAAGCCTCATCGTTGCTTCGTTTCCCATCCAGAGAAAGAGAAGAGTCGTTCGTTCGGTCGCGTAGCTCGCGGTCCATGGCGTGCGAAGGGGAAAAGAAAGGGAGATATAAAGAGAGATGGAGAGAAAGAGATAGAGAGATAGAGAGAGAGAGAGAGAAAGGAAAAGGACGGGTTGGCGGCTCGAATGAGGTAAAAGAGAGTCAGAACGAGTGAGAGAGATAGAGTGGGGGAGAGGAACGGAGAGGGTGGGAGAGAAAAGGTTCGCGTCCTCTCTTCGTCTTCGGACGTGGCGATACGCGTTGGAGAATCGTAGCCAGTGCCCGTGGCTATCTCTTAGCTTGACTCGTGAAAGCCTAACGAACGTTCTCCTCTCCTCTCCTCTTCTCTCCTTTCCTTTCCTTTCCTTACCTACCTTCTCCTTTTCTCTCTCTCTCTCAGTCTCTCTCTCTCTCTTCTTCTTCTTCTTCTTCTTGGTCTTCTCGTACGCGGATCCCTTTTGTCGCCGCGGACTCTCGAGAGGGAACACCTGCGACGCGAGTAAAGGACACGCGAGCGTTTAATCGTTCAACAATTTTCTCTCTCCCTCTCTCTCTCTTTCTTTGTCTATTGATCTATCTATCCTTCTCAGTTGAAACTTTGTTGCTGTTATTGTTGTTGTTGTTATTATTATTATTATTATTATTATTATTATTATTGTTAATAGAAATAATCGAGCAGTAAACGATCGTTGTGAAATAATCAGCTTTATCAATTAAGTTTATTATTTAATCGTTACTTCTATAAATCATATATACATATGAACATACATACATACATACATATATATATATATATATATATATGCATAATCGGCATATACGTATGCGTCCATATCTTATATCCATTAATTGTCGATATAATCGATACTCTACGTACTTTATACGCTTTCGGTTAGTTTAAATTAAGGATGACAGAGAGGGGGAGGGGAAAGAGAGAGAGAGAGAGAGAGGAAAAAAATATCTTCATCGGAGAAGAATCCTTCTTGTTAATTGAAAATTTATTTTTAGTTTAGACCAGAGTATTAGGATATATATGCTTTAGAATATGTACGCGTATATGAAAAAGAGGGAAGGAAATGAGAGAAAAAAAGAGGGAAGTAAAGAAAAGAGAAGAAAAATCTATCTCCAAAGAAGAAAATTCGGTATTATCCTTGGCATCCCTCAACGTGCAACGGCACAACACCATTTCGTTCCTTCTCGACATAGCCGAAAATAGATGGCAAAGGCGCGTGCGAGAAGAGAGCGAGAGAGAAAGATGGAGAGAGAAAGACAGACGGACGGGGGGGAAAAGAGAGAGAGAGAGAGAGAGAGAGAGAGAGGGAGATAGAGAGATAGATAGATAGAGAGAAAGAGAGATACGAGAGGGAAACCGACAAAAATGGCCCGTTGTGGGACGATAGGTCCGGGGCTTCGCTCGTTGAAACTCGCACGACTGGAACGAAGGATGCCGAGGGATCGATAGGACGATATAATGGACGAAGCACGATGTATCCTTCGTTCGTTCGTTCTTTCTCTCTCTCTCTCTCTCTCTCACTCAGTTTTATTCGGGTCTCATTCTCACTCGTTACGTTTCGTATCTTGCTAATGAATTTTATAAAAGAGACGTTTCTCCATCCAGCAATGTCTATATACACTTTATACGTAGGTGTGCATTCCGATTGCTAAAAGTACCAGCAGACGCACGTACATACGTACAAACGTATGATATATATATATATATATATAT